ACGTATTTGTGTACTGTCATGTGTTTTCCTACTTTTTGTAATTCCTTGATTGCCAGTACCTTGTGCCTGTCTGCTGAATGGTGGCTTCGGTTCAGCCGTTTAGTCATTGCTTCCACAAGGCCACGGTGGGCAGTGAGAGTATTCGTTCACAGGCAGGAGGCCGCATGCTTCCAGCCATAATCCAAACTATCCCTCACTGACAGCGTGTTGTTTGAATGCAGAGAGGGGTTTGAATCAGGTGTTGGCGTCCGCGGCTCCGTGTCCTCACCATGGCATGTCGCAGGTGTTGCAGGATTGGGTGGCTGTTAGCAGCTATGACCTGGGTGCAGAGGGCAGCAGCACAGAGCGGCTTGGACTTTATCGGAATTTTCGAGATTTCATGGGGCTCGGGCGGCTTTCTGAAGGTTGAGCTTTTCAATTGCAGCATCCCTGGGTGTCTCGAGTTTGCATGGTGCAGTGCGGCTCGTGCTCTAAAAGCGCCCACACCCACACACACCCGATACACTTTTTGCATGATGGTTCAAACGTATGATGACCTCCATAAACCATATTTGCTGTTGATGTTTCTTTATCCCCTTATAGTTAGCAAATTTTCGTGGTGCGATATAATTTTCCACCAGGAACCATGAGTAAACCGTAATCCGTAAACCCCTGAACCCTAACTCCTAAATCCCTACGCACTAAAACCCCCAAAACCCGATCCCTTTAAGGAGCCCTATGGATCCCTTTGAGGAGCCCTTAAGAGACCCCAAGGCCGCCACCGTTCGCTGTGGCAGAGCTCTCGGAGCGCTGCGACGCCCCGAGCTTAGTTCGGGGTTTCAGGGTTTAGGGTTCAGTAATTTAGGGTTTCAGGGTTTAGTAATTTAGAGTTTAGGGGTTTAGTAATTTAGGGTGTAGGGTTTAGTAATTTGGGGTTTAGGGTTTAGTCTATGGTGTAGGGCTTAGGCCTTAGTGCTCGTTTCGTTTTGTTTGGTACGTTGGTAGTTGTCATGGTTTTTGAATGGTGTGTTTGCAGTTGTGTTTGTGGTTTCGATGTGTTTTCCTAGGGGGGTCGTATGGTTCTGCTACGTGTTGATGAAGGACCGGGACTATAGGGGCTTAAATAATTACCAATACTATTGTGGGGGGGTTCCTTGTTATACTTATGGTAAAATCTAGCCCCAAACCCTATTCTAATTATTAAGGCCTCTAACAGTACGCTTATAGATCCATTGTAGTAACCCTTATAGACCCCCTTTGAAAGGAAACCTAGTCTAATTATTAAGACCCCTATAGTACGGTTTTATTTTAAGGCCTCTATATAATACATGTAGCACCCTTATAGATCCCTTATAATAGCCCTTATAGACCCCTTTAAAAGGAACCCTATTCTAATTATTAAGGACCCTACAGTGCGGGTTTATTGGGGTTCCAAAAGAAAACTGAGGCCCTGAGGCGTCGGAGCCTCGCGGGCGGCTTGACCTCACAGGACGGCCGGCGTAATCTGAATAACGGGCTCCTTAAAGGTATCCTCAAAGGTATCCTCAAAGGGCTCCTTAAAGGGATCCTTAAAGGGCTCTTTAAAGGGATCTATAGTATAGGTTCTTGGAAATCAGAAGAGGGTTTAGGGTTCCGGGTTTATATAAGTTCCTAAAAGGGGGAATTACAAAGGGTGCTCTAATGGTTGCTACAAGGGTTATATGAGGTTTTCGGGTTCCTATTAGGGTCATTGCAAGGGTTTCTAGGTTGCTGAGTAGCATCCTTTTGCCCTTTTTCCTCTCGGTTTCCCTTATCCACACCAAACAGTAGGAACAAGGGCACCCTTACTACAAAGGGGCTACTCAGCAACCTAGGTTTAGGTAAGTATATAATAATAATATGAGCCCGAAAGATCTGCATCACTGCTCATATATATTCCCTAAGATAAGTATTATGTAGTATACCCCCAAAAACCGATTCTGATTATTAAGGCTCCTACATTTTTGCAATATGTAAGGAGCCATTTAAGGCCAAGCTGCTGAAACAGACGCAGACTCCCACATCACAGGGTTTAGGTTTAGGGTTTAGGCCTTCGCCGTTCTATTTTAGTCCTCTTCGTTCGAATATGACCGGCATGTTAGCATGAGTTTATGCGGCAGATCCAGGGCAGTAAGGCGGCTTTGCCAGGAAGTTGGAGCTAGGAGTGCTCATTGGGAAGTGCATGGTTTTGCCGGGTGTTGCAGGCCTTCGGGCTTGCGTTGGGTTGCTTCTTCAGACGGTTGAATCGGGTTGCTTGAACACCTGGGGCTCGTAGACGTTCGCCGTGTTCCAAGCGCGGAGGGAGGTCTCGGCAGCATTGAGCTTCTCAACACAGCCGGTTGGCAATGTAGGAGCCTAAATTGCCTAAATAGCTAATTAATTAGTTTCGTATTATTATACATACAGTACAACATGCCCCAAAACCCTACTTTACTGATTGAAGCCGCCACATTCGTGCACGTTCACTCGTTCGCAAGTCAGCACTTGGCTTTGCTTTTCCCAAAGGTCTGCTGCAGTGCTCTGAGCTGATGCTGCCACTCAAAGTAGCTAAATAACCATTGATAAGGACCCTCGTGCGCTTACACCCTCCCTGAAGCAGCAGAATGAGACTCCTTACATAAAGAAGCTCCCCAGCCTACCATGCCTTCAGGACTGGGCGACGCATGCAGAGGAGATGGAGCCCTTCCCTCATCTGCACAGGAGCGTTTTAGGGTGCTCAGTTCAAAGTGTGGGGTCCTTACAGCAAAGCTCATACTACTCACGGCATCTATTCATCACTTCATGCCGTGCGCCGCCCAACGCATGGCAGGGAACATGTTCAGTCGCTGCCGTGGTTGAAACCCTGAGCGACACAACGGCACGTCTGCTCGACGCCTTCTAATCAGCGGCTGTATACTGCAACCGTAGCACCTGACCCAGGCCTCAGAAGTCCCAAAACCCTAAGCCCTCAGCCGCTACATACCTAAACTAAACCCCCAAACCTTAAACCTCTGTACATATATATATATATATGTATATACCCATACATATATAGATAGTTATGCATAAATATATAAATATATATATATATATGTATATATATGTATAATACACATACATATACTGAAACCCTAGCCCTTACACCCTAAGCCCCAAAACCCCGACCCTTAAACCCCTAAACTCTAAGCCCTTAAACCCTGACACTTAAACCCCTAAGCCCTAACACTGAAACCCTAAGCCCTAAAACCCTAAAACCCTAAACCCTAAACCCTGAAACCCTAAAACCCTAAAGATTGGACGAGAGGTCCGGGCTGAGAGCGCTGGGCATCGAAGCCACGGTGGCGAGCGGAGATCTGTGTCGACCTTTTGCCACGCAAGACATCAAAACAGCTGCAGGGGGTGCTTTTGATACAATGGCTGAACCTGTCGGTGCGCTCAAGCATGCATGACCCCGAACCCATGTTCAGTGTAGGGCTTTAGGGTTTATAGGGTCTCGAACATCTGGGGTTTAGGGCCAGAGTTGGATTTTGTGTTTCGGGACTTCAGGGCTTAGGGTTCGGGGTGTTTAGACCCAAGATTGAGGTCCAGGTGTTCACATGTCCGTGTGCATCTCGTATTCCATAAGGATGTCTTGCGGTCTTGGCTCCCCTAAACCTTAAACCCCTAAACCCCAAGCCCTACACCCAAAAATTCAACCCACATCTGTAAATCTTGGACAAAGCCTCAAAGCACGTCGGCGTCACCTCTGTCTCCGGCTTCCGAAAGCTCCTTAAAATCCTAAACCCACCTAGACTGCCCTCGACCCTGTGCAGATGCCCGAACCTTAGACCCTAAAGCCTGTCGCCAACCCTTAACTGCTAAACCCTAAACCCCACACCTGAATCCCTAAATCCTTTCAGGCCCTAAAACCCTTAAGGCCCTACAAACCCTAAAACCTTATAGACCCCGTCTTTTCCCCCCTGCGCAGATGCCCGGTGAGTATTTCAGAGATGGGACGCAGGAGGCCAGGGAGGAGGCTGGCTGCGGCTCTGAGTCGAATTATGGGGGGGGGGGGGGGCCTTCATAAATTACCAATAGGGTCCGGATTAAAGGGGTCTGAAAGGGTTACTATAAGGATCTCTAAGGGTACGATAATATTAGGGGCCTGAATAGTTACCAAAAGGCATTTACAATATTCTATAATTCATAGGGTTCTTTAGTAGGGGGTTCTTTGACAGGGTCTTAAAAGGGATCTGAAATAAAATCTGTCATAGGGTTCTATATGGGAGCCTTAAGCCTTACCAATAGGGCTCCTTTGAGGGTTCCTTTTACAAGGGGTCCATAAGGGTTACTAGAAGGGGTATTGCTGAGTCTCTGAAGCCCTGCAGATTTGAGCAAAGTTGACCGCCTGATGTTTCAAGGAACAAGAGCAATACAAGTATAGTTTTATATACATATATACATACATATGGAGAGGGAGAGAGAGAGGGAGAGAGAGAGAGAGAGAGAGAGAGAAGCAGGACACGGCTCATAGTTTATTTGAGACGGCTTGGGGTCGGAGGGTCTTGGGAGTTGCATGCCAGGACATACTAGGGATGCCAGATCTGGCCGTAGTGACCTTTGTGAACCATCCTAGGTTTAGGGTGTTTAGGGTTCAGGTTCAGGAACGCTTGTGTGACTTAGACACTAAACCTTAGTACTGCAGGGCTCTAGCCACCTGTCTTTCGTGGTCATGTGACCAGGTGAAGACAACATGTCATGTTCCATCGAGTCTTCCATATATTATCAAAACAGCATATACTGGAACATCATGCAACACGCAGTTGCCGTATGACGTGCCTGAAACCCGAAGTGCACTTCCGCTACCTGACTTTCTGCCTCGTGATGTGTGGCGCTTGAATTGTAAGCCCATCTGGAATGCTTTTGCGGTGTGCCATTCTTACAGGATCATGGGACTTAGGAACTGGGGTTATAAATAAGGCAACTATACTTATAGTTCCTTACAACCCCAATGAGGGGACTTATAACCTTACTTACTAAGCCCCATGATCCTCCAAGTTACAGTCGACCTTGACCATGAATATATGATGCAGCTGCTTGCTCTTTGCAGCTCCCGGCGGTCAGAAGTAGCAGAGCACCAGGGGAATTACCGGTGCTCCCATCCAGGTGCTATGGCGCGCCTCGGCAGAAGATGTTGAAACTCACTAGGACTCGGACATGATATGGGAGTCTCCGAAAATAGGGGTACTATATTTTGGGGTCCTTATAATAAGGATCCTACTATTTAGGGTACCATATTAGGTTCCCCTATTTTCGGAAACTCCCATATGTCTAACTTACCGTAGATCGGCGCTGTGGTATTCAGAGCTGGTCCCGAAACCCTAATCCCTAAACCTGAAACCCTAAATCCTAAACCCGAAACCCTAAAGCCTAAGCCCTAAACCCTAAGCCAGGCGTTGCAGAAAAAGGTCCGCTCTCATCGCTCAAAACAAACCCTAAACCTTAAACCCTAAAGCCTAAGCCTTAAACCCTAATCCCTAAACTCTAAATCCTAAACCCTACAATCCCTAAACCTTAGGCCCGAAACCCTAAACCAGAGGCTCATCTACAAGCTCCACTACCGCCGAACTTTTATCGACATGGATGAAGAGCCGTGGCACAGCCCGAGGCCGGGGGCCGAATGCCTCGACAGGTGTAGGTAGGGGAATTCGGGGTACCTTTAAAGGGATCTATAAGGGTTCCTTTAAGGGTTCTTTAAAGGGATAAAGGGTTCTTCAAACGGATCTAGAAGGGTTCCTTTAAGGGTTCTTTGAAAGGGATCTGTAGGGTTTAGGGTTTGGGAGTTTCAGAAAATCAGGGGTACATTATTTTGGGGTCTTTATAATGAGCATCCTAGTATTTTTAGGCTACTATATTAGGGTCCCCTGTTTTCGGAAACTACCATCCGAATTCAGAGACAGATGAAAGGCAGAGAACAGAACAATGCAAACTCCAGCGATGAGCATCAGACCATATCATACAGGGTGCCACAAGGGAATGTAGAGTAGAAACATGCAATACAACATAGCAACGTACAAGCAACAATAACATGACAAAATGTCATAAAACCTGATCTGCTACAACACGTCATATGTAATTTCAACCCATGATGTAGCACACTACACTGTAGCCTTATGATAGCACAAATATTTCAACAAGACATACATGATATAACATGACAAGTACGGCCTGATATAACACAGAATTACATACTACAGTCTCAAAAGTATTACAATGCAACTTAAAACTACAGCACCGCAGTAAGAGTTTAAACCGGCAAAGAAGACAAAACAAGCAGTCGTGAAACTAGACAATGCAACATAGCTTGATGAATCAACAGACAATAACGTACCGTAGTGTAGAAGGCTCATAACGTTACCAGATGAAAAGATGATGAAACCAGACACGAGAAATGTGATCTAATATGGTAAAATGTCATACAGCGCAGCCGGATAAGATGTAATACGGTATCACTTCTGTACTTTATAAGATTAGGACATTTCAACCCATGGCGCGATAAGAGACAAGATAAGAAATCACAAAGCGAAAGCTATTGTAGCGTGAAAGTGCTACAGTACAAGGTGTTCTAATACATAGTACCGTATGACACAACACGAACTTAGATAACACAATCACGTCCTACACCCTGAAGACCCACACTCCTACCTGAACCCTAGAAAAGCTACCTTTCAGCATTCCTCATCATTGCTCCCCTACATAAGTCCTCTTTAGGGTAGGGCCGCTGGGATTAACTTCGAGCACTTGTATTCTTTCCCCTAAGCCCTACTTGGAGGTCAGGGGACTTCGTAAGTAAGGTGAACAGTCTTGATCTTTGGTTTTGAGAACTACATGTATATTCGTCATCGTTCCTGGGTCCCAAGATCCGTTGAGACCCCCCAGGGCACGCGCTGCTAGCTGTCCTCCGAGCATGCGAGAGGGCGAAGAATCAAATGAGGAGCAGGAGGACCGTCGCCGGTCCCTTTGAGGGCTCTTCTGATCGGGTTTAGGGTCTAGAGTTTAGGGGTTCTTTTTGATGGGATTCGATCTTCTCGGTGTTTCAAGGTCTTTTGGGTCTAGGGCCTGTCCAGCCGAGACCACAACGAGTCCACGGAAAGAAAGTTTTTGAGAGGGATACCACAGGCAGACGTCCCTGTAAAAGACCCTTCTTGTTTAGGGCCCGGAAACCATTCGCCAGCAATCGCAAATGTCTATGGGGGTAATTAGAGGTTGGGTTTCAGGGTTTCGGTTTGTGTTGAGGGCTTTTAGGTTTAGGCCTAGGCCCCTCGGGTACCTTTGAGGCCTCTGTGACAGGGTACGGGGGGGGTTCCTGGTACGACGTAGACGTTAGGGTTTAGTGCAATCTAGGGGTTGGGCAGGGTGTAGGGATAGGGGTCAGAGTTCACGGTTTGTTAGTCCACGTAGTAGCTACACACACGCAAAGACATGCTGCAGGTACAAGTGCCTGGAACACAATTCGTGCAGCAGCATTGACTATTGCTATCCTGAGGTATTTGCCATGCCCGGCCCCATAAACGAAAGCTGCTTACCTTTGGGGCTTTATGAGTTTAGAGTTTAGGGTTGCCAAATCCTCTCCGAGCTTTCCCTAGAGGCCCTCGCTCTCTGGCAACATCCCGACACTCCCCCAGCCCTGTATATCGATAATTACCTATACTATTTTGAGGGCTCCTTATGATAATTATAGTATAATGGCCCCTATACTAAACCCCCATAATACCCTTTATATGAATCCTTATAGACCCTTTCAATAGGGACCCCTTTAACGGAAACCTATTCTAATTATTCAGGCCCCTATATTACTCCATTGCCAAGCTGATCCTGACACCCTCAATACTGGCGCTTCAGTGCGCCAAGAAAGGTTTCTGTTTCAAGAGCAGCGGGAAACCAAGATATAAGGAAATTAAAGTAGATGACATTATAGATGACAGCCAAACAGCCAGTTTCTTGGAGGGCCCCTAAACCCTAAACCCTAATTTGAAGTCAACCCCAGCGAACCCTGCGCCGATCAATGCGATCTTCTCCGTGCAGAATAGACGAGGGTTGGTCGGCGGCAGAGGATTCTCATGTTTGGGCCGATCGGGGAGGTTGCGATTTTTTTGGACGCGAAATCTCCGCGGTGAATTTTGGTGCCCAGTGCTCGAAGACTGACCTCCGTGGTATTCATCCGCCGACGTGCAGCTGAAGACACCACGGCGTTGACTTCCCTGATTGCCTATATCAATAATTGCCTATACTATTTTGGGGCCTCCTTATGATAATTACAGTATAATGGGCCCCCAAACCCCATTCTAGTTGTTAAGCCTACGACTGCAGTCTGCAGATCTCTGGCTGCAGCAGAACTTCAGCCGCTTGTACTTAGAGGATCAGGGGACTCAGTAAGTAAGGTTATAAGTACCCTAAATTTGGGGTTATAAGGTTAGTTGTACCTTAATTGGGGCTATGAGCAATGATAATGAGTACTTACAAAGTCCCTTGATGCTCGAAGTAGCCTTGAAGAGCCGATCAACGCCATCGCGCACGGTAATTACCAGGTGGACTGCCAAAACTGCTTGGAGTGTCGGAAAATGGGAGAAACTCCAACCTGCCGAACTTCACCGAGCTTGACAGCTTCAAGCGAAAGCTGTCTCTGTGCGCATTGCAACAGCTCCGTTTATCAACGTAGCATTCTGCTGATGGACAAAATCCTGCATGACCCTAAGGATCATAAATTATGGGAACTATGGTATATTCCTTATAATGGGTAGTGCAGGATTTTGTCCATCAACAGTTACACTCCTTTGCAGAACAGGGGAGTTTTTCGGGCACCTATCGCCAGCGGCGCGCCAGCTCGCCCCAACTACTTGGAAGCTTTGAGCACCAAGAAAGCTGCAGGATCCAAAGCTCTACTTAAAGAATCATGGGACTTAGTAACTAGGGGTTCCTTAGAGGGATCTAATTATTAGGGATCTATAAGGGCTCTATAAGGGGGTTTTAAGGTTACTTAAAGGATCATGGGACTTAGTAACTAGGGTTATAAACAAGGTAACTCTACTTATAACTAAGTATAAACTCAATTAGGTCACTTAGAACCTTATTTACTAAGTCCCCTGATCCTTCAAGCATAGGCCAAGCATCAGCCCACCACTTAGAGGGAAGGCGAGCTGTCGGTAGAAGTGGCCGTGCGCCACCGTGGGCGAACCTTAAACCCAAAGCCCTCAACTTCACGCGCGCAGCCCTGCTACGGGATTTCGATGGAGCCTATGAACCCCGCGTAGATCCCTGAAAAGAGCACTGTCAACGTTGCTTCCAGGAGTCCAAGCCCTAAGCCCTAAACCTCGAGCCCTCAAATCCTGAACCCTTCAGCCTCAGCTTTAACTCCTAATTCAACCCCAGACTGAAGATGTCAGGAGTCAAAGGCCCACGAGCTCTATTTAGAGAAGGTGGTTCGCGAGGCATCCAAGTTCCATGCCCGGCGCAGCCGCGGAAGCATCGGCCACCCCGCTTTTTGGCTGGTAAGTTGTGTTTACGGTTACAAGCTGTGGGTGAATCGCTCGAGATCTAGAGGTTGAGGGTCCATGGGGTTTTGGGGGCTTGAGGGCATGAATATGAAAAGTTTTAGATCTAAGATTTTGTACGTAGACCAAATACCCTTTATTCTAGGACCTTTTTCCTTCTTAATGCATATATATATACACATACATACACACATACATACACATGAGATCCCTTTCAAGGGTACTTGGCGGTCCTTCCAGATTCTCTAGACCTCCGCTCTGCAGTGAGTGTTGACAAGATGGGTTTAGAGTCGACAGGGTTGGGGTTTGTGAAACTGGATGTTGAAGACCAGCTGAACTTGGAAGTTCATCATGTGCGACCGTGAGTTTGGAAGAGCGACTGCGCGGGAACCGCCCTCCGAAGTTTTTGTGCAAAAAAGGATCTATCCACACATGTACATCTATGTGTATGTGCCCTAAGGCCCTAAAGCCCCAACCCTGAATGTATACACCTCAAGCTCTAGAACCCGGGAGGACAAAGGCCCTGAAGCCCCCAGAGAGCCTTGTAATCTAAATAGGCGTTTGGGGCCTGCATATGGCTGGGTCGAAATTCACGAACATGTTTCAAAGGATTTAAAGGGCCTTGTAGCTATGCCCTTGTAGCTAAGCCTAACAATGCCTGCTCTCGTGGTCCGAACAATAGCCCTAAACCTTAAACCCCTAAGCTCTAAACGAACCCTGAACCCTAAACCCTATTACACTGTCAACTTTAATAAAGCCGTATGAGGAACCCTAAGCTTTAAGCCAGAAAGCCCTACAGAACCCTAGGCCCTACACTTAAATCAAGGAACCCTAAACCAGAAACCGCCCCCACTGAGGAAGTTCGAACTCTCAAGGCCCTAAACCCTACACTTAGGGTTTAGGGTTTAGGGGTTTAGGGTTTAGGGGTTTAGGGTTTAGGGGTTTAGGGTTTAGGGGTTTAGGGTTTAGGGGTTTAGGGTTTAGGGTTTAGGGTTTAGGAATGTACCGGGCTCTTGTTAAGGAATTCAATTTAGGTCACCATTACAAGGAAACCCTACATAATATTTACCATAGTTGCTTATTATGGTAACTTACTTTAAATTCCTCAGTAAGAACCCAGTATCCCTAAACCCTAAACCCTAAACCGAAGGAGCCCTAAGCCCCTAAACCCCTAAACCCCCAAACCCGAAACCCCCTCAACCCACTCAGGAAGTACCCAGTATCCCTAAACCCTAAACCGAAGGAACCCTAAGCTTGCGGTTACAATTATAAGCAAACCCCCTAATATTTACCATAGATCTTATTGTGGTAACTTAATTCAAATTCCTGAACAAGAACGCTCTAACCCCTATAGATCCCTTAAAGAAACCCTTAAAGGTACCCTTAAAAGAGCCCTTTAAAGGAACCCTGAACCCTGAGCTTGAGGAAGTCTGCCGCCGGCCTTGTGTCTTTTTGGCGGCCGGGCGCTGCGGCCAAGGAGAGAACTGCGGGCTCCCTGGAAAGCAGTAATCCTAGGGTTCCTTTAAAGGGCTCTATTAAGGGTACCTTTAAGGGGTTTCTTTAAGGGATCTATAGGGGTTAGAGCTTAGGGTTTAGGGTTTAGGGATATAAATCCTGCATTGCCCATAATCGCGAATATACCATAATTCCCATAGTTTAGGGTCCTTAAGGTAATGCAGGATTTATATCATCAACCGTCGTAGCTTGGGCTTCTGTAAGGGTTTAGGGATTAGGGGTTAGGGAGAAAGGTTCTGTGGGGGGGTTTAGGGTTTTAGGGTTTAGGGGTTAGAGAGAAGGGTTCTGTAGGGGTTTAGGGTTTTAGGGTTTTGGGGTTAGGGAAAGAAGGGTCCTGTCGGGGTTTCGAAGGGCATTTTGGAGGGGTTAGTTCTCGGCCTTGAGGGCTCCCGGGTTTGGGGTTTTAGGGTTTATTGTAGGGTTTATATAGGGGTTTTGGGTTCAGAGGTTTAGGGTTTAGAGTTTAGGAGTTTAGGCTTGAGGGGTTTAGGGTTCAGGGGTTTCAGTGTTTAGGGTTTGGGGGTTTAGGGTTTAGGGTTTGGGGTTTAGGGTTTAGGGTCCGGGGGTTTGCCGGTTCAGGGTTGTGTGTTTGGGGTCGTCCGGGTTTGAGAGTGTACTGTAGGACTCTGATTAATTTGCTCCTTGTGTTGTTTCGATGTGCTGATTCGTGCTCACAGCACTTCCGCGATAACCACAGTTTGCATTGGTGTACCCCATCACCAGGTATTCTTGCTTTCGTCTGGAGGGTCGGGGGAGAACGCCTAAACCCCCTCCTCATTTACAACGAAGGGCTTCAAAGGTGGGATGAAGGTAGGTCGGGCAATCCCAAACAAGAGTCCAAATATAAGGGATCCTTAATCCTATACCTACCTTCAATCCCACCTGTCGAGGCCTCCGATACCCCCACCCCCTCTCGGAGCAAGAACTTGCACAGGGCTGCTACTGCGAAAGCACTTTTTGATGGGAAGGAGGTTCCTGTGAAATGTTTGCGAAATTGGGGGGGGTGCCTTATTTAGGGGTCCTGATTATCAGATTATAAGGAACCTACTACAAAGGGTACTGGATTAGGGTCCCTTATTTCCAGAAACTGCCATATAGGTACCTGATTTTCCGGTATTATTATTCGCCATAGGATGATACTGATACTGTAATATACCCACAGCCCCAATTAGTCTAATCATTAACGCCTCTCATAAAGCAGTCGAAGCCCTAATGAACTGCTTTCAGAGCCCTTCAAGGAACGCTGCTTTAAATATTACGTTAACGAAATTATGAGGTCCACCATCCCTAAATCCTAAACCTTAAACCCTACACCCTAAGCCCCAAGCTCACTTAAACCAGAACCCCTAAACCCTAAACCTTAAACGAGAGCCCCAGAAAGCCGAGGTACTGTCATTGTGAGCATAACGAACCACGAGCCCGCCCGGACAAAAAGCAAAGAGCCGCACTTCAAGGCTCCCTGAAGGGCTCCTTTAAGGGATTTGGGTTTAGGGTTAGGGGTTTTAGGGTTTAGGGAGGGATCTGAGTTTAGGGTTTCGGGTTTAGGGGTTTAGGGTTTAGGGAGGGATCTGGGTTTAGGGTTTCGGGTTTAGGGTTTAGGGAGGGTTCTGGGAAGGTTCCTTCATGGGGTCTAGACAGGTTTCGATTCCTTTGCGGGGTCTAGAGTCTAGAAAGGTTCCGTTCAAGGGATCTATAAGGGCTCCTTTAAGCGATCTATGACCTGTAGGGGTTTTGGGCACTCCGGGTTTAGGGTTTGGGCTTCAGGGCTTGAAGGGTTTCGATTTTTGGAGTTGTAGGGATCAAGTCTAGCGTTCAGGGCTTTTGGGGTTCAGGGTGTTGGGGTTTAGGGATTTCACATCCATTGAAAGGTGGATAAGGACTTTACAGTTTCATGCTTTAGGGCAAGTTCAAGGGCTCCATGTACAGAGATTCTCAGTGGCTTCAGAAGTCGTCCCACTGCTGTCATGAAAATCTTGCCAGCATACTTTCACACCCTATTCCTTAGATCCCTAATGCCCAACCTTTAGCCTTTTTGAATTCTTACAGTTTAGTAGGAATCGGAAAGTTTACCCTTCTATTTCTGTTGCCTATTGAGGCCTTTATTCGGGTTCCTTATATGAATCCTACTATTTTGGGGGTTATAGGCCCGGGGTTCCTACATTATTCCGATTGAGCCAGGCCTGCAGCAGGACGACCTTTTTGCTGTAGTGCTGCCACATCTCCAGGCTGGCCGGGTGGGAATTTCGAGGTTAAGAGTTTAGGGTTTTAGAGATTTAGGGTTTCGAGGTTTAGGGTTTAGAGATTTAGAGGTTTTAGGTGTAGGGTTTCGAGTTTTAGTGTTTAGGGGTCATCCAGAGGGTTCAATCAAGCATGGGAGCACTACTCAAGTCAATCGGGGTGAGGTTCTGAAAAAAACTACGGGTGTCTCGTGCAGGGGTCCTTGCAGAATAAGAATGAAACTGCCATGTAGGGGGATGTATAGGAGCTTTTTTAGGTAGGTGACTACACCTCAAACCCTGAACTCTAAGCCTCCAAACCCCAAGCCCCTGAACCGTAAGCCCCTGAACCCTAACCCTCTGAACCCGAAGCCTCTAAACCCTAAACCTCTAACCTCTCTAAACCCTATGTAAACTTCTAGCCTCTCTAAACCCTAAACCCTCAAAAACCCCAAACCTTTTGTGGCGCCTTTTCAGGTACGTGCAGAGCTACCGCAGCTTCGAGGCAAAGCCACGCAGCTTCTGCGGATCGTGGAGGCCTCTGCCCGATTTGAGGGTTTAGGGTAGGAAGGGAGACCCCTATATTACACCGTTGAGGGGTTTAGGGTTTTGCGGTCAGGGTGTAGGGTTTATATAGGGGTTTTGGGTTCAGAGGTTTAGGGTTTAGAGTTTAGGAGATTAGGCTTGAGGGGTTTAGGGTTCAGGGGTTCAGGGTTTAGGGTTCACGGGTTTAGGGTTGAGGTTTATGGTTTAGGGCTCAGGGGTTTAGGGTTCAGGGGTTTAGGGGTGCAGGGGTTTAGGGTTTAAGGTTGAGGTGTTTGATACTCGAGTGAAGTTCAGGGTTTAGGGTTAAGGTTGTCACACAATTTCTATGTATCCTGTTATTTAGGGGTTTAGGGTTCAGAGTGTTGTTTAGGTTTCAGGGTTTAGGGCTTAGAGTGACGTTCAGGGTTAGGGGTTTAGGGTTTGGGGATTTATCCTGCTGTTTAGGGTTCAGGGTTTAGGGTTTAGAGTGAAGTTCAGGATTTAGGGTTATAAGGTTTAAGACTTTACCTTTCGGGCCCACAGCTTGCATTCGCGAAGGGTTTTGGGTCAATTATAATGTGATCCCTAGTAAGATTTAAGGCAAGTTCCGTAATTAAGGGGTTTTGGGGTCTCTGGGTAGGGAGCAGACCAGTCGGAAAGCTGTCGTCGGCGCAGGCTGTCAAGTGGAGTGGTTCCGGCTGGCTGGTAAGCATACCTCCCATGTTGGCAATCGTTTGGAGGCAAACTTAGCCCTAAACCCTAAACCCTAAACCCTAAACCCTAAACCCTAAACCCTAAACCCTAAACCCTAAACCCTAAACCCAAAACCCCAACCCAAAACCCTAAACCCTAAGTCAACTCTCGATGCTTCTGAAATGATCCCGATAATTAGGCATGGCATCGCTTCGGTCGAAGGCCTTCGAACCCCTTGCGCAATTTCCTCCAGGAAGCGAGCCATACCATGCATCCCGCTATTGCTTAAAGTTTAGGGTGTAGGGTTTGGGGCTATCTGTGGCTTCTGGGGATTTCTGGGCAACCACAGCCAACGCGCGCACACACACACACACAACACTAAACCCAAAAACCCGAAACCCTGAACCCTAAAGCCCAAACCCTAAGCCCGGAACTAAAAGGATGGCTCCTGCTTGAAGGCTCATACTTCGAGGGCCAGGGGACTTAGTAAGTCGGTTATAAGTAGGGTTATAATTGTGGTATCTCCATTTAGGGTACTTATCACGCTACTTATAACCTACTTACTAAGTCCCCTGCCCCTCCAAGTAAAGTTCAGGATTGAGGGCATGGGTTCAGGGCCAGCATTCAGGAGTTTTGTTCGGGTGTGAGTGTTCCTCTGACCTCGTGCTCCAAGTTCCCCCAAACTACGGTGATGATATAAATCCTGCAGTATTTTAATGACCCTAGACTATGGGAATAATGGTATATTCCGTATTATGGGTAATGCAGGATTTATATCATCAACCGTAGGGCATTTGGTATAGTGGAACCCCAAAAGCATCCGTAGGATTCAGATCTCCCCTTCAAACCCAGGTGGCAGCACTTAACACCCTGATAAACAGAAACGAAGGCTATACATCAAAATACAGTAGAACCATGATGCATAGTACAGAGGCCCAAATTATTTTTCCTTAGAACTTCCTATTAAAACTATACTCCAAAGTAGACCAAAACCCTTTACTAATAATTAAGGCCCCTACATTAGCTCCAGAAGTTCATGGCTGCAAAGCCGAGGCAACCGGCTTGCTTGAAGCTGCCAAGACGTTTGATTCTCAACGTCTTCTTCTCTAAGCCTTAGATGAGCCATAAACGATCTTAAAACGTCTAAGCACCCCAAACTAGGACCTCAAGGCTCAAACTTAAAGCTTCTAAGCCGTAAACCCTGAAGCGAGAAACCCTTAAACCATCCCAGACCCTGAAAGCTTCGAAGTCTGCAATACCAAACTTACAAAAGCCTCGCGTTTACCTTAACTTACCAAAACCTGCTCTTTTGTAGGTTTTTAGTATAGGCCCTGATACGGAATGCATCGGAACCCTAAAGAGAAGGTAGGTTACGGTTAAGGTAGCGTTCAGGGTTCTGGGTTTAGGGTGCAAGACCAAACACCATTTGCGCATCCAAAATACCCCTTGCCTAACCCATTTCGTTCTGCTCGGCAGGACATCTCCGTCACCACGAGCCCCTGCGCGAGCCCTTCTGCAACTTAGATAGCCAATGGAAGAACTTCAACCCTTTTGGCCGCATATATATATATATATATACATATATATATATATACATATATATGTAATTATGTATGTATTTATATTATGTACAGCTATATGAGGTTTTGCCCTAAGCAGCTTGTTGAAGAAGAAAAGCAAGCTCGAGCTAAAAGGAACCATGAAACGGAACCCTAAATACTACAAGGAACCCTTGACCGGAACCGCACAAGGAACCCTAAAAAAAAACCCTTAAGGGAACCATGGAGAGCAGCTTTGTGAAGAAACCCTAAACCCTAAACCCTAAACCCTAAACCGAAAGGCAAGCTCGAGCTGTACGAGCTCCAGCACACTTTCGGACAGCAAGCTGAAGCTTCCTGGCTCGGGCTTAGGGTTCGCACTGTTTGGGGTTTAGGGTTTGGGGTTTAGGGTTTCTCGGTTTAGGGGTTTAGGGTTTATACAAACTGTTTAGGGTTCGTGTCCGGAGTTTTGGGCGGTTTTGACAGGGTTTTGCCTTTATTTTGCTTTTGCCTAAAACAATTTGCACTAATCCTGGGCTTGAGGGTTTAGGGTGTAGTGTTTAGGGTTGATAGAAATTGTTAAGGGTTTGGGTGCCAAAAACGTTTTCAACGAAAGTTTTTCCTTTTGAACCTACATCTTGAGTTTGGTGGGGGGGGAAACGTTTCCGTCAAAACGTTTCGGTCAAAACTTCTTGTGTGGAGTTTTGCGATTGAAACCTGGGTTTTCTGACTCGACCGTGGTTTTGGGCTGGGTTGGGCTTGAACTTGACGGTTTAGGGGGTTCAATGCGAGTGACTGAAACCAGATTTTACGACTGGAACTGTGATTCGACCCTGGTTTTTGCGCTGGGTTGGGCTTTAAGGGCTCCAACACAAGCAGTGACAAGCAATTTCTATTTATCATTTTCTTGAGGGTTTAGCGTTTAGGGCCTTTGGGGTTTAGGGTTGAGGGTTTAGGGTTAAGGGTTCAGGGCTGAGGGGTCAGGCTTTAGGGTTCAGGGCTCAGGGTTTGGGGTTTGGGCAGGGTTTACTTAAAGGATCATGGGACATAGTAAAAAGGGTTATAAACAAAGCAAGTACACGTATAATTTCTTATAACCCCCATCAGGGTACTTATAACCTTACTTACTAAGTCCCCTGATCCTCCAAGTAGGTTTTCGGGTTGTAAAGGGGACGCTGTGGGAATTATGGTATATTCCTTAAGTGGGTAATGCAGGATCTAGATCATCAACAGTAACATAGGGGCCCCCAGAATTACGAATACTACTGTGGGGCTTCGTTATTGTGAATTTGGTATAATGGGCCCCAACAACCCTATTTCATTTGTTAAGGCCACTATAGTAGGGCTCAGGGTTTAGGATTGCTGTTGCTTAGGGTTTAGGGTTAATGCCTCAGGCTTAAGACGGGGTTTCGGCTTTAGGGTTTAGTGGGGTTTCAGGCTTCAGGATTTCAGGTTATCTCGGTGTTCCGGGCTTTAGGTTGCTGGACATGTTGGGTTCTTGCGCTGCAGCTAGTTTTTTGGTCGTCCGTTTCTCTGAAGCTTTCGAGATGTTCTCCGAATCGCTTCCGATAATATCAAGACAATCAAAAGCATAACAACATATTCGAGACTACACTGTTAGACATAGCATGATATACTCTACTTCACTGTACTGTAATTAGTCTTATAATGTAAGTCTTGCATAGTGCAGTACGGTACAGGATATTATAGGATAGTACAATATCGGATATTATAGTTTATAGTATAGCAAAGTACAGTTTTATAGCGTAGTACTGTACAGAATAGTAATGTATGGTAGAGTACAGCATAGTACCGTATGGTATGGTATGGTATGATATGGTATAGCAAAGTACATATAGCGAAGCAAAGGAAAGTCTGACTAGCACGGTATCATTAGTATTGTATAGTACAGTAGAGCATAGTATAGTACGGTGCAGGCTAGTATAGTCTAGGTCAGTGCCGTACCGTACCATATAGCCAAGTAAAGCACACTATAACAAAGCACAGTACAGTACAAGTTAGTATAGTATAGTCTATAGTATAGTATAGTATAGTAAAATGAAGGTAAAGGTTCATCCTACCTGTGAGAAGCTCAGGTCCCTCAACAAAACGCTGGAGCGAATGACCTTTTCAGGCTTGGTAGCACTACTTTGTGAGAGTATTGCCAAAGGCAACACTCGAGATGAGCTGCTGCAAGCTCTGGAGGATATGCGTGCTCAGTGCGACATTCCTCCATGAAACTGACCTGCAGCTTAGCAAAGCTGATCGCAAACCCACGTCGGACCACCGGTCTGCAGCAGATGGAATCTCGCCCACGGGCTCTCACGCAGCTTCTTCAAGAGGTTCGCTGAGAAGCTCGACACATAGCACCGGTAAACTGCAGACGCGGCCTACGCGAGTTTCGAGACGCTTCGTTCCCGCCATGCTGCCTGCTGCCTCTCGTTCCAAGTCCTTTTGCCGAAGGCCAAGCTTTTGCGTCTTTTGGCCTCTGAATGGTGATAGAAGCATTCATGAATGTATGAGTGCTATAGCCATACGGCAATTCAGCCAATGTTTACAATTACGATGAAAGTATCCGTGACGTGATCAACGCAAACGGCTTACAAAGAGCGCCACGAATCCCGTGGCCAAGCCTACTTAGGCACCGGCTTGGGATGAGAGGACTTTATAACTTGTTCTTGCTGGAGAAGACGTCCAGCTTCGTTCCAAGAGCCCCGGTACCATAAAGTGCTTTGCCTGTGCGGTGTCCATCAACTATGGAGCCCTTGGCATTGGTACCGGAGGGACCCATTAAAGTTCCTGTGCACATGCACATAACAATGCTTGATGCAGTCGTTTTTTAACCCGTCAGATCCTGCGCCGCTGTGCCGCTTGAGAGTGAGCAGCTATTCAGTCGTGAATTATGTGACAACAGGGGTCGACAGGATCACATGCGACTTGCACTGGCCATTGCACAGTTCCTCCGAAAGTTCCCTTATTGCATGAGGTTTCAGATTCCCTGCATTCGTGCACCTTTTGCACTCCTGACTGCTGCAGGTCCATAGATGCAATGCGTGTAATGCCGAAACCTGAATATTCAGTAATTTAATATTATTGTTTGGGCCATTGCTTGGGGTTCCTGATGATAGCTTTAGGATGAAGTGCACCTGGAATGCCATGGCACAAGACTGTTGTCTAAGTTAGAGTCTTCACAACGTTGTACGTTAGAGTTTAGGATATTATGACCGCAGACTGCTTGTGAAAGACCTGCAGAATCGAAGCCGCAGAAGACTGTTGGCTCTAACCACCCTTTTGATGAGAGCTGTTCCCGTTGCAACCCCTGCATTTCTTGCATGACTGTCTGGTTCTTAGTAGGGAATGGGGGAAATGGATTATGGGGGACTCATATTGGGGATTATATAGGGGCCCTTAACCCTGAAGGACCTACCTTTTTAAGCACTTCTATCAGGAAATGATAATAAGGAGCCCTACAACAGTAGGTTATTCAGGGTTAAGGACTACTATAGAGATCCAATCCCCCATTCCCTAGGAAGTACCAGGGAGATGACGCCGATTTTTGCGGCACAGACTTCGGGATCCCTCCAAGCTGCCAAGCAAACGTGAGCACGTGTGAGTTGGGCGAGGGTTTTGGGTATATATTTGATATATATATATATATATATATATATATATGTGTATATATATATATATATATATATATACATATATACATACATACATACATACATATATATATATATTATATAATCGTAATAACAGTAGTAATTGTCATACTACCATACCACCCCCCTCCTTGCCATGTCGGCTGGCATCGTCTTGGCTACTGCGGCAAAGCGACTCCCCAGTTCCCACAAACTTGCTGGGCTCTTCTCATTCCCTTGCTTGAGTTGCCAGTACTTGGAGGGGCAGGGGACTTAGTAAGTAGGTTATAAGTAGAGTTATAAGTACCCCAAATGGAGATAGTTACCCCAATTATCACCCTATTTGTAAGCGACTTACTAAGTCCCCTGGCCCTCCAAGTATGGTAGCTTGAAGAAGAATCCAGCTGGACTGTCGCGTTGGCATGGAAAACACTCTGGATTCGACTGACATCCGAAGGTACGCAGGTGCAGGTCGTTGACGCATCCGGCCTTTCAGGGGACACCCTACGCCCCTAAAGCCCTAAACCCTCCACCCTAAACCCCTAAAGCCCTAAACCCTCCACCCTAAACCCTAAACCCCTAAAGCCCTAAACCCTCCACCCTAAACCCTAAACCCCTAAAGCCCTAAACCCTCCACCCTCACCCTAAACCCCTAAAGCCCTAAACCCTCAATCCTAAGCCCCTGCGAGACGATTGAAAGGCCGTGAAGAAGGAGAAGCGAAAGGCCAGAGAGATGAAGTTGGAAGACTGGCAGATGAGGCGGGCACAGTGGGTTTGGGGGACCCTCGCAGCCTCTAGGGTTTAGGGTTCAGGGTTAAGGGGTTTAGGGTTTAGGGTAGGGTTTAGGGTTAGGACCCGAGGGAAGAAGCAGTCAGACAGGAACCGGATTCAGAAGCCTTCGGTCGTTGTTCAGGGCTCTTTGCATGAATGTTACTATGCGGGGGTTATGGGACCAGCGTTTCTAAGCCAGTTTCCTATTTGGTGGTCTCAGATATATGCCTCCTGATTCACTTGCAGGCTGTTGCAACCATCCCTGGCAAACAGCAGTAATGTTTGGGACACGATGATTCATACCCTTCGGTCCCTCCACAATCGCGCGAAGATTCTGCAGCTGCCGAGCCTGGCAGGTAAGCCTCACTGTCTTGGCCTGCCGCCGGAGTTCGGTGAATCGGAGATTTCCATGTCATACAGGGGCCTAAGCAATTACCAAGCGTATTTGGGGGGAACTCCTCATTGAATTATGGCATAGTATAACCCGGAGGCCCATACATAATCCTTAGGAAGCAGATTCGCTAGGTTCCCGAGAATTTCCAGCTAAAGGCGGCAAGAGACCCTAAGCCCCGAAGCCCGAAACCCCTCTCATCGAAGTCAGAGCCAGTGCCGGACCCGGGTATGTTGGGAGCCGAAAGAATTATAAATTCGATTTTCCGGGTTCCTCCTCATAATAACAGTACAATATTTCCACATTACTCAATTCTGATCATCAGGGCCCCTATCTAGTCGACATTGCAGATCGACGATGTGGAGCAAATCCTGACCCAAAACAACACCCTGGATGAGGGTAGTTCTCTAAACTAGGGTCTCTTCTGAGATCTAGTACGGCAGCCGTATAAAAAGGACCTTCAGACGGGGACCCTAATTTAGGGAACTACCCGTAAAGACCCAGAGTCGACATTGCAGTTCGAGGATGGGGAACTACTTAGAGGATCATGGGACTTAGTAAGTAGGTTATCATTGGGGTTATAAGTCCCCTAAGTGGGGTTATCCGGGTTATCCTAATTATAACCTACTTATAACCTTACTTACTAAGTCCCATGAGCCTTCAAGTAGAAGCACCGCCCAAGCACGAGCGCTCAGCGCTTGGGAAAAGAATCGGTTGCAATGGAAGAATCTAAGGTGGAAGGATCATGAGGTTTAGACACTTTACAGGGTTCCTGAAAGGGTTTCTGTAAAGGATCTACAAGGGTTTAGCGTTCTAATGAAACCATGGGACTTAGTAACTAGGGTCGTAAATCAGGTAGCTGTACTTCTTATTACTTACAGCTCTGTAACCCCACGTATGGTACTTCTAACCTTACAGCACTAGCTAGGTTCCCTGATCCTACAAATACCTTGGAAGACTCTTGTGCAGCACGCATGAGTAGTTCTCTAAATTAGGGGCCGCTTTAGAAGGGTGGCTTACTATTTGGGGTCCTAAACTGGGACCCTAATATCGAGAACTACCCATGTCTAAATTGCAGACTCTCAGATTACCGAGCCAATAGGCAGGT